CATGTGAAGTACATGCCCATCTAGTCTTACATTCAATAAAAACATGTCTACTATAACAATGGCCGTCACCTAATGGGATGTTTCTCCGCCCTATGTCCACAAACACACCAGCCCCAACAGCTCTCAGTACTTGAGAAATATGTAGCGCTTAATAATATTAGTAATTATTAATAATGTTAGAAATATTTATTAAATTCAACTTGTCATTAATCATGCCTAATATACATCGTTTCTTTACAACATCAAGGAGATAGATAAGTATTCTTATCACACGTAGGGGCGGTGGGGTACCCTAGTGGTTAAAGCGTTCACTCGTCACGCCGAAGACCCGAGTTCGATGCGCCACATTGGTACAATGTGTGAAGCCAATCTCTGATGTCCCCCCCTGGGATATTACTGGAATATTGCTAAACGGCTAAAACGGCGTACAACTCGCTCACTCTTGTCACACGAAATCCGGGATAACATGTCGGACTATATCGCAGTAACCTAGCTTTGTATCGATGACGGTATTGATGGTTTATCATCGTTCCCTGATGTCGTCACATCCTTTTGATACCCGTGAAGATCCGGGTTAGAATTGATCTTCAGTAACCCATGCTTAGAGGCGACTAACGGGATCGGGTGGTTAGGATCGCTGTCTTGGTTGACACATGTCATCGGTTCCCAATTGCGTAGATCGATGCTCATGCTGTTGATGACTGTGATGTCTGGTCCAGATTCGATTATTTACAGACCGCCGCCATTTAGCTGCAATATTGCTGAGTGCGGCATAAAACTAAACTCACTCACTCACATCCTTTTTATCAGGACAAGGATTAAATATAGCAGACTGCCGCGTATACAACGAATAAACAAATGAAACCACAACTCTACTATCCCACAAACCTTTGTGAACCACACACACCCTACACACCCTACACACCTATCGCATGGTTTCGTTGTGCCCAAATGCATGTTTACTATGTCGCGCTCAACCCAAATCAAATAACTGTTATTTCTATCAAATGTACATGTCAAACCGGCGTTCATGGTTAGCAGAATGTGTTTTTCATCACAATTCTATTTATCACAATTTGAATATGTTTTATCGTCATTTAGTAAAAGCCGCAAATCCTTAATCCTTAAACATAAACTATAATTAATTAAATAATTACTCATTCCCACGTCGACGTTACTGACAATCAGAGATATTCAAAACTCGGTATTTTGCGTAAAACATTTGGGACTCTCTGAAACGTGTAGGTTTAAAACTCGCATGGGTGAACTTCCAGTTATATATTCTGTTGTGTTGACAGTAGGACAACTAGTTACATACATTTACAGCCAAATCACACAATAGGGAAGTCGGAATGTCAGCAATCGTAAATAAGCCAATAAAAATTCAGCCAGTGATGACGTCAGTTCACAAGTGACTGACGCAGTGGGGGGTCAATATGTTCATTTGGGCGTATATAGACACGTTGTCTTCGTTGAAGAACAATGCATTGTTAGTGTTGCAGATTCCAAATTCGATCGTCCTCACACCATTGCAGCCGTCGCCATCGATATATACATAGCCGTCTCAGCCCTGGAAGAGAGTATGGCCTCTTGCTCTTGCAGTTGGTTACAGACTGCTTATGTCGACATGTTCTTGTTTCCGTAACAATCCGGGTACCTTGAAGTGAGTGCCCGGATGTATAGATCCAGGACGGCAGTATTGTTCTTATTTCGGCCACTTCCGGTTCAATCTTGCTTTGAATGTATACTTACAAACTGTGCGTTTTAACACACTGAATCCTTTTCATGGACGCAAGAAAACATCTGTTTGACCAAAGGTTACATCTTAACCAATTTCTGAAAGATGCTTGAAATTGCCTCTGTATATAATAATACCATTCATGTGTTTCTGAATATATGTCAACAATCTACTTATACACACAGCCGCTGTAGCTTATTGAGTAGAGCTCTTGTCCGGAGGGCACGTTTACACCAAAATACATTCATTTACAAACAATCAGTGGTTAGTTTGGATTAGGTTGGCACTGTAAAACAGGTATATAACCGGAAACACACCCACTCGTGACTAATTAAACTTCAACCTTAAACCTCACATTGTGTCTTCAAAATAAATCATCATCTATGCCTGGAGATGTGATCAGTTAAACACTGACTAAAACACTAGACACTAACTGGTGAGACAGGGAGACAGAAAGACGTCAAAAAGGCACTAACACAGTGAGACAGTTAATCGGGTAGGTGTTAGTAAGACACTCCCTGGTGAAACAGGGAGACGGGTAGGTGTTAGTAAGACACTCCCTGGTGAGACAGGGAGACGGGTAGGTGTTAGTAAGAAACTTACAGGTGAGACAGGGAGACGGGTAGGTGTTAGTAAGAAACTTACTGGTGAAACAGGAAGACGGGTCGGTGTAAGTAAGGCACTGACACGGTGAGACAGTTAAACGGGTAGGTGTTCGTAAGTAAGGACGGGAGACAGGTAAGACGGAGACCCTGGTGAGACAGGGAGACGGGTAGGTGTGTTCGTAAAAACACTCCCTTGAGAGACTGGGAGACAGGTAGGTGTTAGTCAGAAACTTACTGGTGAGACTGAGGGACGGGTAGGTGTCCGGAAAAACTTACTGGTGACACAGGGAGACAGGTAGGTGTTAGTAAGAAACTTACTGGTGAGACAGTTAATCGGGTAGGTGTTCGTAGGACACTAACTGGTGAGACAGGGAGACGGGTAGGTGTTAGTAAGGGAATCACACGGTGAGACAGGGAGACGGGTAGGTGTTAGTAAGAAACTCACTGGTGAGACAGGGAGACGGGTAGGTGTTAGTAAGGCACTAACACGGTGAGACAAACAGGTAGGTGTTACTAAGGTGAGACAGGGAGACGGGTAGGTGTCCGGTAAAAACTTACTGGTGAGACAGGGAGACAGGTAGGTGTTAGTAAGAAACTTACACGGTGAGACAGGGAGACGGGTAGGTGTTAGTAAGGAACTTACTAACACGGTGAGACAGGGAGACGGGTAGGTGTTAGTAAGGCACTAACACGGTGACACAGGGAGACGGGTAGGTGTTAGTAAGGCACTAACATGGTGAGACAAGGATACAGGTAGGTGTTAGTAATGAACTTACTGGTGACACAGGGAGACGGGTAGGTGTTACTGGTGACACAGGAGACGGGTAGGTGTTAGTAAAGACACTAACACGGTGACACAGGGAGACGGGTAGGTGGTAGGCACTAACACGGTGTTAGTAAGGCAGGTAGGTGTTAGTAAGGCACTTACACGGTGAGACAGGGGACACGGGTGAGACACGGTGAGACAGGGGTAGGTGTTAGTAATGAACTTACTGGTGAGACAGGGAGACGGGTAGGTGTTAGTAAGGCACTAACACGGTGAGACAGGGAGACGGGTAGGTGTTAGTAAGGCACTAACACGGTGAGACAGGGAGACGGGTAGGTGTTAGTAAAGGCACTAACACGGTGAGACAGGGAGACGGGTAGGTGTTAAGTAAAGGCACCTAACACGGTGAGACACAGACACGAAAGCACTAACCTGGTGAGGTAGGTGTTAGTAAGGCACTAACACGGTGGCACTAACACACGGTGAGACAGGGGAGACAGGTAGGTGTTAGTAAGGCACTAACACGGTGAGACAGGGAGACAGGTAGGTGTTAGTAAGAACACAGGTGTTAGTAATGAACACTGGTGAGACAGGGAGACGGGTAGGTGTTAGTAAGGCACACGGTGAGACAGGGAGACAGGTAGGTGTTAGTAAAAGGGTGAGACAGGGAGACAGGTAGGTGTTAGTGTTAGTAAGGGCACGGGTAACACGGTGAGACAGGGAGACAGGTAGGTGTTAGTAAGGGGACACTAGGTGTTACTGGTGGTGACACAGGAGACAGGTAGGTGTTAGTAAAGGTGACACTAACTGGTGAGACAGGGAGACGGGTAGGTGTTAGTAAGGCACTAACACGGTGAGACAGGGAGACAGGTAGGTGTTAGTAAGGCACTAACACGGTGAGACAGGGAGACAGGTAGGTGTTAGTATTAACACGGTGAGACAGGGAGACAGGTAGGTGTTAGTAAGGCACTAACACGGTGAGACAGGGAGACAGGTAGGGTTAGGAGACGGGTAGTTAAGGCACTAACAACGGTGAGACAGGGGAGAGGTGTTAGTAAGGTACACGGTGACACAGGGAGACGGGTAGTAGCACTAAAGGCACTAACACGGTGAACACGGGTAGGTGTTAGAGGAGACGGGTAGGTGTTAGTAATGAACTTACTGGTGAGACATAGGAGACGGGTAGGTGTTAGTAAGACACTAACACGGTGAGACAGGGAGACGGGTAGGTGTTAGTAAGGCACTAACACGGTGAGACAGGGAGACAGGTAGGTGTTACACGGTGAGACAGGGAGACACTAACACGGTGAGACAGGGAGACGGGTAGGTGTTAGTAACGGTGAGACAGGGAACGGGTAGGAGTGTTTACTAACACGGTGACACACGGGTAGGTGTTAGTAAGGCACTAACACGGAGACGGGTAGGTGTTAGTAAGGCACTAACACGGTGACACAGGGAGACGGGTAGGGTAAGGCACTAACACGGTGAGACAGGGAGACGGGTAGTCGTTCGTCAGAAGGGGGGGGGATGACTGGTGAGATGGAATGATGGGTGGGTGTTAGTCAGAAGGGGGATTAACTGGTGAGATACAGTGACGGGTAGGTGCCAGCAGGACAGTGACTGACAGACGAGACTGGTATTGAAACAGGAAATGGTCAACTGGCATATACTGGCAATGGAGCCTGTGTGGCAACAATCTAAGATACGCTCTGTAGCCGAGGACATGATACGTTCTCTCTACCCATGGCTCGGCCATCTGTGACGGCTAAGTCTGCCAGGCAATTCTTTACTCTCACGAAGTGGACATTCCAGTAGTCTCCCTTGAAACTTCCCACCACAGCTGGGACCGATATTATCAACCTATCGACCAATCAGACTCAAGTAAAATGAGGTATATAGCTTCATACCTACCATACTTCAAGGTGAGCGGACCGCCGACAAGTGGCTCTTCTATTGGACTTACAGGAACACAGCTTCAGGTAGGTGGGGACAGAAGGGGGCATGGCGAACCCCGAAGTTAGTGAGTTTAGTTTTAAGCCGCTTTTAGCAATAGTCCAACGATATCACGGCGGGGGGCATCAGAAATGGGCTTCACGCATTGTGCCCAAGTGGGAAATCGAACCCGGATCTTCGGCGTGACGAGCAAACTCTTTAACCACTAAGATACCCCACCTCCGCGACCCCCAGGATATATACCTGGAAGGGTCAAGGGCTTAAAGGAGATAAGTCTTTTAAATGAGATGAGTCTTTAAAGAGAGCGAGTGAATGTCCTGTATGTATGCATAATATGTTATATATCTCATTGTGAAATTGTGGACAAATTCGAGGAAACATTTATATGAAGTTAAGTATAGAGAAGAGAAGAGAACCTACCTCTATAGTTTAGACGTGCATCAATAAGTGACGCGGATGCCCACAGTATGCGACAAGAAATGATACCTATATTGTGTTTAATAATATGAGGATCACTGATCAGTTATACATAAGGTACTGAAAAACTGACTCGACTTTCATCTATAAACCATTTACATGTCGTGGGCAATCATTGTGCGCAACACGTGTTGTAGTTACTGAAACGTTAAATGAAGTATTGAAAGCTGCGGTTTCAACTTAGCCTATATTCTAACACTCGGTCGACTTTATCATTGTTACAGAGACAACAACTTATCAATGTACATTCATATCCTTTACGACCTCGTAACAAGGGACTTTCAGCGTTGTCAACGTCTTCATTTGGTCCCCAGATATTCAACGTCGGAGAGACAAAATTCATCTATCTAGACATCTTCCCTTTGATTAATTCAGCCAATGAAATACAAAGTCAAAACATAAATGTTTTACAACCTATATATGTAATTCCAAATATCAGGATTTGAAGGAATCATACAACTATTTTACAATTAGGAAATGTTATATGTCGGTATTGTTACGTAGTTCATCTGAACATATGAACGCGTTTCTTGTCAGATATATTTAGGATTGTGTTTAACAGGTAACCATATTAAGGGTCTAATCTTTGGAGAGATCCTTAAGCCCATTGCAATTCATTGTACTTCTAGTTATAATATAGAAGAAACGTTTATGTTTGGCGTCTAATGGGGAACAGAAACTATGTTAGGGAGACTCCGTAGTCTTGAATATCATCTTACCCAGTCGCCATTAACTCGGCTTGATGTATCTGTATGTTTTATGTACAATATTAACATTGTTGTGTTATTATACCAAATCCGTCGGTCCTGATGGTACTTCTGGTATGGTACATGTGTTTACGTCAGGTTTACCACAGTGTAAATCCAAGGTTTAAATAGATGAAGTATTTTCCAAACTATTTGATATACCACTGGTTTCAGACAGGGTTGTAGACTCAAGCCACCGTTGTCCCCCTTTGTTATCAAATAATTAATTAACGAATTTAATATGAAAAGAGAGAAAGGGATACAGATACAGATCTCATAGAGATGAAAATACTTACTATTTGCAGATGATATTGAATCTTCCTGAGATATTTGGTCTAAAGAGTCATTTATACAATGAAATCATATTGTGATAATTTGTCGGTTAGGTAATATTGATATAACTAAAATCGTGGCCTCTGGAAATTATGGACCTCGGAAAAGTATTAATCTTGGAAAATCTGAAGAAATAGAACTCGTATCACAATGCAAACATCCTTGAGTTATTTTAACTTCCAATCTAAAGAGGCTTAAGTCAGTAGAAGCCAGTATCCCGTTCAGCAAGGCGACCGTAGCGCTAAGGGTATAGTAACTCCCATACTTTACCATAGACTTACGACTGTCATAACGACTAAGATCGTTTTGTGGAACGGGGCGCTGCTCTGTCAACGGAAAATGCTCATTGTGCGCAAATGTAAGAGCTATGAATAGTTTCGGTAATTTTACAATTGAAAAGTTTTTCAAAATATTCGATCTGAAAATATAACCAATAAATATTTTGGCTCAGACATTTAGGGTTGTGAAAGTTTTGAAGTTTTATAAGGAATATAATAGACTGCTTGTAAAAGATGTGATTCGGAATTTCACACAACACGCCTACGCTGCCGGCGAATGTTGAATGTGGCAGGTATGCAGTATCTTATGATTCTGTACTTTGATGTGTAAGGTATCGATTAACACTTATTATATGCATGCCTCAATATCTTCTCCACAATAATCCTCTGACATGCTATACGCTTAGATGTGCACAACATATACTCGCGGGCAACATCAGTTGACGAGTCAATATCTACAGCTTGGATCTAACTAAACGTTTGAAATGGAGATTGTTTTATAAATAATTTAGAAATGATACTTACAGATATTTTCTCTTAAGAATGGAAAAATACAATAACTGAAGACGAAAAAATTAAATCGACCTGCATTATAAAACACAACTCGAACATGAACTTTATATACACCTGTGCATTAATTAAGCACCACCCTATTTTGAAAATAAGATGTGATGCTACAGAAAAGTTAGGGTATAGCCATCAATTTAATCAACCTGTAGTTAAAGAAACTTTATCCACTGACAGTTTTACAAATACCTTAACCTTTTCTATTCTTTATGAAAGAATACGTTGATGAAAATGTGATGGGACTGAATTTTTACCCAAAATAACTATTCCTCTCCTGCTCAAACTACACAGTTAAATTAAGTTTTGACTAAAAATAACAATTCTGTTATATACCAAGATGACATTTACACATCAAGTAAGCTATAATTATGCAGAATCAGGAAGAACCCGAATGTCAAAGATTTAGACCTTTTTCCAACAATTCAGATTACTAATTGACAAAAAACTGAAAAAGGCACATTAATAAGAATTTGGAATAAATGTTTTATGATTTTGACTTCATTGTAATGAATAAACACTTCTCCTTGCCGGATACTGATAATTACAGCTAAAATCTGTTTGTTTTGTTTTAAAATGTTCCTTTTTTTAGTTTGACTGTAACTTTTCCTAAATCTTAGTTAACAAATTTTCATCCATTCACAATAAATAACGAATTTATAGGCCACACAACAATCAATTATTACTTTCACTTTTCAAAATAAGGTAACTTGTTTTAGGACAGAAAAACACCTGTTTTAGATATAGGCAATTATCATCATTAAAATACATGGTAATTTCAATGATGTTTTCGTTTTTTGAAATGTTAAATGCTTGCTCTATCAAGTTATAAAGGTTAATGTTTTGAAAGAGTTTAGAATTTCATTTCAGACAAAATTAATTGGTCAAAATATAGGGTGGTGCTTAATTTATGCACAGATGTATATATTGAACATATTTTCGTTTCATTACAAGAGATATTTAGTTCAACAAAGGACAGATGAGGCAGGACTGGTATTGCATTAAGAAATATGACAGAATATGCCTATTCTATAACTTAAATATTGTGGAGGATAAGTCCCATGTTATCATAAAATGTCCATTCGTTTAAAGAGCTAAGACACCATTATGTTCCTAAGAAATAGATGGACATAAGCACCTTCGTTTTAGAATCTGATGTGTGAAGAGATTTCTCAGTTTTCTTTCGAACAAATTGAAATTCTGTGAAAAGAAGTATTATTACGTAAATGAAACATTTGAATACAAATTGCTGTACGTCTTTTGCCTTATTAGCTCTTGTATGAAAACTATGAGTTGGTCCATGACAATGATGAGTTGAAGCTGACAGTTAGTCTTATGGTTTCGTTTTTAGAATCGTATAATAAATAAGTTTTAATAATTGGATAAAAGAATCGTTCATAATCGTTGCTGAATCATATCGATTCAAAAATGATCCCGCACCATAAGTATATTGTTATAACTTACAAATGTGAATTATGTTTACATGTTACACAATCATAAGACCAAATAAGACAGATTTCCCATTATCACATAATGGAAATATTGCCACAACTGCAAATACCCGTACACACTGGTCATGGTTCAGTCCATTTTCTTACAGCATTGTGGGCCCAAATGCTGATTTTATTCATATGTTAGAGATCAAACATCTCCACATTCAGTCAACGGGTCTTGGTGCTGGACATATCTGGTGGTGTGCTGAGAAAGAGACGCTGAAACCCACAAGTATCACTTGACTTCGTTAATACCGTTTCTAAATACCACCCCACAAAGAGCGTAAAGCATGAACAATGAGCAAGAAATAGAGACAGGAATTAGAAATAATCAACAGTTATAACTCTGTCTTCACCGATACAGGTACTAACACCTGCAGTTATTACTGTCTTCACCGATACAGGTACTAACACCTGCAGTTATAACTGTCTTCACCGATACAGGTACTAACACCTGCAGCTACAGGTTCGTACATATGCAGTGTAATATAGATCGGGAAATTAGGGCATATTACACGCCAGGGAGGAATCTTTGGAGCATATTCAGTAGCCTGTCATTCATATTTACCGTTACTTCCGCGAACGTGATATTGTATAATAAACAGTAGACCGTGAAACGTTTGACCCCATTAAACAGCAGCCTAATATGGTTATAAGTAGCATTGATCTCCAACCCCTGACACGATGCCGACCTGACTCTCGCGCCACACACTGTTGTACAGCTTTTACATCATCACCAGCACGGCACGACACAGCTCGGGACTGTTAACACTTGTGACAGTATCGACCTCCGAGTCAGGCTATATCAAGTGTTGCTACCATTATCAGCACGTTTTATCGTTGTATTATGAGAAGTTATAGCGGCCTGGCTTTGGTTTCGAGACAATGATGAGTAGAGATATGTGAACAGATGTGGTTTGGTGGAAGAAAAGATATGGAAATGTTTACTCCGTTATCGTCGAGCTATGATTATTTTCCGATCAGTTCTCCATTATTGCCGCCAAGTGGAGGGTGGCCAGCGATGGAGGTATTTAGCATAGTTACATTATAAAGGAATTGATAGCTGCAACACGTTGTGTCACAATCAAAATGCAGTTACTTTATAAATTGTTATTACCCAGTTATTTGTTAAGTC